AAAAAAAAAAAGCTGGATATGCTGGCACATGCCTGTAATCTCAGCTACTCAGGAGGCTGAGGCATGAGAATCGCTTGAACCCAGGAGGTGGAGGTTTCAGTGAGCCAAGATTGCACCACTGCACTCCAGCCCAGGCGATGGAGCAAGACTCTGTGTCAAAAAGAGAGAAAGAAAAAGAGGCCAGGCCCAGTGGCTCACGCCTGTAATCCCAGCACTTTGGGAGGCCAAGGTGGGTGGATCACCTGACATCAGGAGTTTGAGACCAGCCTGATCAACATGGAGAAACCTTGTCTCTACTGAAAATTAGCCAAGTGTGGTAGCTAATCACAGCTATTCAGGATGCTGAGGCAGGAGAATCGCTTGAACCCAGGAGGCGGAGGTTGTGGTGAGCGGAGATTGTGCCATTGCACTCCAGCCTGGGCAACAAGAGCGAAACTCTGTCTCAAAAAAAAAAAAAAAAAGAAAGAAAGAAAGTCCACTTCTCTGGGCCTCAGTTGTTTGTTTTCTGTAAATACATCTGAAGCTCTGAGCACACAGCCTGGAATTTTATGGTCTTGGAATTTAAGAATTCTTGCCTTAGAATCAAAGGATTCACAAAATAGTTTGACAGCTCTGAAGTTCTGGATGCTGACCCCTCAAAGATGAGTACCTCAAAGTAGGAGAGGGCTTTTGTTTTTGTTTTTGAGATGGAGTTTGTTCTTGTTGCCCAGGCTGGAGTGTAGTGACTCAATCTTGGCTCACTGCAACCTTGGCCATCTAGGCTGAAGCGATTCTCCTGCCTCAGCCTACCAAGTAGCTGGGATTACAGGTGCATGCCACTGCACATGGCTAATTTAAATTTTTTTTTTTTAATAGAGATGGGGTTTCACCATGTTGGCTAGGCTGTTCTTGAACTCCTGACCTCAAGTGATCGACCTGTCTTGGCATCCCAAAAGTGCTCATATTACAAGCATAAGCCACTGCACCCAGCCTAGGAGGGGGCTTTTAGAAACCAACTATTGATTCCTTTTAACCCTCATTTGATTTTATTATTATTTTTTTTTAAGATACAAGGTATCCCTCTGTTGCCCAGGTTGGAACACAGTGGCATAATCATAGCTCACTGCAGTCTTGACCTGTTAGTCGCAAGCAATTCTCTTGCCTCAGCCTCCAGAATTGGTGAGTCTACAGGAACACACCACCACGCTCAATTAATTTTTTTTTTTTTTGAGACACAGTCTCACTCTGTCATCCAGGTTAGAGTGCAGTGGCTTAATCTTGGCTCACTGTAGCCTCTGCCTCCTGGGTTCAAGTGATTCTCATGCCTCAGCCACCCAAGTAGCTGGGATTATAGGAATGCACCACCATACCCGGATAATTTTTTTTTTTTTTTTTTTTTTTTTTTTTTTTTTTTGAGATGGGAGTCTTGCTCCATCACCCAGGCTGAAGTGCAGTGGCAAGATCTCAGCTCACTGCAACCTCCGCCTCCCAGATTCAAGCAATTATCCTGCCTCATCCTCCCAAGTAGCTGGGATTACAGTAGTGTGCCACCATGCCTGGCTAACTTTTTTGTATTTTTTTTTTTTTTTAAGTAGAGATGTGGTTTCTTCAGGTTGGCCAAGCTGGTCTCAAAGCCCTGACCTCAAGTGATCCACCCACCTTATCCTCCTAAAGTGCTGAGATTACAGGTGTGAGGCACTGCACCTGGCCGATTTTTTTGTATTTTTCGTACAGGGGTTTCACTATTTTGGCCAGGCTGGTCTCAAACTCCTGGCCTCAAATGATCCACCCACCTTGGCCTCCCAAAGTTCTGGAATTACAAATACGAGCCACTGCACCTGGCCTTCCCAACTAATGTTTATATATTTTTTGTAGACAGGATCTTGCTATGTTGCCCAGGCTGGTCTTGAACCCCTGGCCTTAAATGACCCCCCCACCTTGGTCTCCCAATTGCTGGAAATACAGGCATCAGCCACAGTGCCCAGAACCTCATCTGATTGAATCTTGAAACTAAAATTAACATTCCTTTGACGTTATCCTTTGGGAGACTATTTAATCAGCTCTACTGAGCAGGTATTATTTATTTTACAATATTTTTTAAAAACCTACATTTTTTTAACCCCTAAAAATAAACTAAAGGAAAAAATATAAAGCTAACATTCTTCACAGGGATCTCACTACTTACCAGGCAGCTGAGGTCTGTGGGATGCTAAAATTTCAGCCACTGGCTTTGGTGTCAGTTCTCCCCATGTCTTCCCTCTCATGGTGGCATAAGGGCTCTGGAATTTCTGCTTGACTTGCTGCTGCCCTGGGCTGTTTCTGGGCTCACGCAGTTTACTTTCTGACTTTGTCCACACTCCTGCCTCTGCCAGGACCACTCTCCTACCCATCTCTGCTTAACTTTGTCCCCTGTCCAGCATTTCATTCATGGAGTAATCTCAGTGAATGTTCCCAGTCAACCTCAATAGCCTGACTCCAGTGCCTCCACCTCCAGAAAGCTTTCCTTGATCTCCAGCTCCCCAGCTCCCCAGCTGAAAGTCATCCCCTACGTCTGGAGCTCCCACAGCTTCTGGTGATGGTGAGGGGTCAGCAATCTGAGCACCTCCCAAGCTACCCCATTACTAGTCACTTACACAGAGTTGTGCAGGTAGCATCTCAGGATGATGAAATGTCTCTGGGGTTAGAAGCCAGGCCAGCCCACCCTGTTCTAGACCCAGCTCCTCACTCATGACAATGGGCTCACTGAACCCATAGCAACCCTGGGTTGGAGGCACCACTGTTACCCCTATTTCACATAGGCAAACACAGGCTCAGAGAAGCGATGCCCACACCCAAAACCAGTGGCAAGTAAGTGG